GGACCCCAGGACATCAGTTCTCTTGCAAAGAGACTTTAACATCCCAGTTGAATCTTCCTCAGTCCTTCACCCAGGGTCAGGCCAGGACCAAGGCCTCAGTGTTTAGGTATCAGAGACCACTGCTGAGAAGGAATGAGAAATATCCCAGAGCAAGACGTCATGGCATATTCCAGACCAGAAAAGCAGGTGTGTGAGACAAGAGAGGACCACCTAGTAGAACAAAGAGGCATCAACCCTCGGGTGTAGGGAGAGGAGAAGCCCTGCAGTGACAGCCCTGCTATCAGGGAAAGTAGTACCACATTGTCTGCTCTTGGAGGGCTGGAGGCTCACAGGGCAGGTAGAGGAATTTGACAGAAACACCTGGAAACAGGTGGTGTGGTCCCGGGCTCCTGGAGAGAGAGGGCCAGGCAGGTACCGGCTGAGGTGAGGGGACTTCACGGACCTGAAGCAAGGAAGGCAGAGAGCACAGGCATTGGGTCTCCTGGGAGTCAGGCAAGCAAGTGGCCCTGGACCACATGATGAGGCACCTGCTACCTGGCACCTCCGGGAAGTGCAGTCTGCTCCCCTACCCTGTGTGGAGTATTCACGTTAACTGTAGCCGTGTTCAAGGCCTCGCACGCATGCAAATTTACACAGATATGCAAATGCACAAGGGCACACAGATGTGGAAACACAGTCTCTATCTGAAAGGTAAGAGGCCTCTTGACCTCCAGGTGACAAAGCAAGTGATGCTCTAGCCTCAGTGGTGGTGTATCAAGGCCATCAGCCTGCCCCAACAAGAATCACACCTTGGTTTCACAGCATTCTAGCTCCCATGATAACCAGCCTCACCTGGGAGAAGTCTTAAATGGTGTATGCATCCTAGAGGCCCTGGCTCTGGGCCGGTGGGCAGACCCTAGCAGATGAGGGTTGTGCCCCTGCGCAGGCTGGACTGTCAGCCACTTTGAGCAGTGCTTGACTAGAGTTCATGCTTTCCCCAGCCCTGCCTCACTCCTAACCGCAGCCATAGCCTTTGCTTCGCACACGGGGTCTGTTGGAGGCCAGAACCTAGTCCGGAACCAAACACAGCCTTGTCTGGCAGGGTGGGGAAGAGGCCCACTCTCCTCTAGCACATTCTAAATGCCCTCTCCTGCCTTTCTTGCCCCTGCCCATTGTAGTGTGCCCAAACTATGTGTGGAGGGTAAGAGTTTTCTGTATCTACCTTTTCTGGGACCCAGGTGCCCTATGTCTCCACCTCTGATGCCTCTGCAGGACTAGGGTCTGCATGGATGGAGGAACAGAGAGGCTGCAGGATGCCACCTCTCCCATTTATGTCTGCCTGAGCTGGGCCTCTGTCAGCCTCCCTCTCCTCATGTGCCCTCCCTGGAAGTCCTGCCAAGATTCTCAAGCTTTGGAAACAGCCTTAAGGGTCAAATAGGTCTACCTGATGTTCTAGTCCAACCTGCGGAGAGTGCTCGGGGCTGTGAAGTTCTGGCAATCAGTGGGGTCAGCCTTGGGCCCGTGACTCCCAGCTAGGTGGGGCCTCAGGGTCCCTTTATCTCCAGTTACTGAACAGCTATCTGGGTCACAGAAGTATTTAGGCCTGGGTCTGATTCTGGGGATTTATTACTAGGGGCCTCCTCTCCTTGGCTTTGCTTGCTAGCCTCGGAGGGTCTGTAGATGCCTGGTCAACTTTCCTGTACCTGTGATTGAATTTGGATTTCTGGGTCATCCCAGACCCAAAGTATGTTTGTGTACCCATGTGACCCTGCATCCTTGTGAGCCTCAGCTCAGTGCCAGGAACCACTTGGTATGGGTCCCCACCTAAGGGCCAGCTATGTAACTCTGAACATGGCTAGAGACTATTGCCTTTTCTTCTCTGTAGACAGGAGCAGCATCAGCCCCTGTCTCTGAGGTCTGCTGTGACCACTAGATGAGCAGCCCATGGTGGGAATGGCAGCTGAACTTACCCTTGCTCTCACTGCCTGTGAGGACATGTTACTCTGCAGGCTGCTATAGTGTCTGCCTGGTCTGCCCTGTTTTCCCCAGGCTTCACCTACTAAAAAGTCATTTCCTCACTCCCTCCTCTTCCATGCATACCCACCCATCATCCACCTATCCATCCACATGTCTACTCACCCACCTCTCTACCCACCGTCTATCCATATACTCACTTACTCATTCATATACCCAAGTATCCATCTACCGACACACATTCACACACCCATGTATACAGCTAACCCTTATACATCCTCCCACCCACCTATTCCCTCCATCTCATTTACCCATTCCTCCATTCACCTCACCCACCCACCCATCCATCCCCTCCCTCCCTTTCCCTCCCCATTTTCTTCCCTTCATTCTTCCTTTTCTCCTTCTCATGTTTGACTCCATGTCATCCTGGTTCACTGGCCCCCATTTTCCTGGTCAGAGAAGTTATTGGAGACATTAGGCCCCAAAGACCAGCCAGGGTGATTTGGCTGAGGCCAGCTTGTTAGGAGCATAGAATCTTCTGAACAGTACCTGCTGATCTGAGGAGTCATCGCCTATGGAATTGACCTTGGAGAGCTGCCACACAGCAGAGCAATCTGGGGTGGTGGGGGGCTCACAGACCCTGGACCTGTTCACCATGAACTCTCTGCCTCAGCGTGGGTGCCAATGTCTCCACAGGAGGTCTGAACATAATCTGACCTCACATGCCATTTGGGTACCAGGCAGCAGGAATGGTGCAAGCCCTCCAAGCCCCCTCCAAGGGGTCATCCCCCAAGGCCGAAAGCTCTCCTGTGGTCCCCTCACCAGTAGTCTTGGGACCCCTCTCCTCCATGCAGTCAAGAGTATCCTCAGGTTACTCTGCTGAAAATTGTCTGAAATAAATTCTCCCTGGTGGTTAAGACTGCTGGAAGGTAGAGGTCCTGACAGCAGCCACGTCTGCTCTCAGTTTGGTTTCACGGTGTCACACTCATGTAAACTATTTCTACAGCTTTGAAATCTAAAGGACAAAAGTTTAGAAAACTCCCTGCCTCCCTGTTCTTCTCCTGCCTGTTAAGTCATCATTTCTTCTTAGAAAAATTTCTTTCTTTCTTTCTTTCTTTCTTTCTTTCTTTCTTTCTTTCTTTCTTT